ATAAAGATAAATTGAATCCGCAGGTAAAAGGGGTTTCCTACGGACTAGGGGGGTTAGAAAAATCCAATGGGAGGGAGTGGGAAAAAAAATTTTAAACAGCGAAAAGGGAAAGGTTTCGTGGAAAGGGAAGGGGGTTGCGCAGGGTGGAGCAGGGGAGAGAGAAAGAGCGGAAGGTGGGTTTAGTGTCCCCTTTATGGTTTGGTCTCGCAATTAAAATTCAGGGGATTGCTTCAAGTGTTTTAAATTTGAGAGGTAAAGGGAGGCAATTTTGGGGAAAGGTAGGGGGGAGAATGGGGTTTAAAAAATTTGGAAAATGTATTGGGGCGTACCAAAGGGAGGGGGGGGGGAAAGGGGGAAAGGGGAAATGGGGAAACGTGGCCGGGGACAAAGGACAGGAACCTGGGAGGTGGCAGAAGAGGAAAAAACTTGGGAGGGAAAAAGGGGAGGGGAAAGGGACATTCGAGGGGGGAGGGTTTAACCCCCTTTCACTTTTTTAACGGGCCCCCGTAGAGGGGGAAGAAAATGGGAAAAGGACGGGAGGGAAAATGAGGGGGGGAAGATGGGGGGAGGGTTACCCCGGAAACCTTTTTTTTGACTTTTGGAAGTGAGGGACGATTTGGGGAAAAGGGGGTCGTCCCCGGGCCCCCGCCGATACTGAGGGGGTTTTTTTAAGAGAGAATCGGAAGCGGGTTTAAAAAGGCCTTGAAGTGGGCCCTCGGCCGGGGGGACGCAAAAAGGGTTGTTTCAGGAGTTTTTAAGGGAGGGTAACCCCAGAGGTGGGGGGAGAGTGGGATACCAGAAGGGGGGGGACGTTTTGGGAAAAACCCCCGGGAAAAAGAAAAAAAGAGGGGGGTCTCCCTTGGAGGCGGGATGAAAATGCCATGGATAAGGGAGCCTTTTTGTCTCTTTGAGGGTAACGGAAATTTCCCCCCGTTTTTTTTTTTAACCCGACAAGGCGAGGGGTTCGAAGGGTACCTCATGACAGTTAAGGCAAAAAGGGGGATCGATTGCAAAAACCCCATTAGAATGGGGCATCGGGACCAAAAGGGTGGGCATTCGGCGATAGATTTGCAATATTTGCTGGATGGCCAAATTTTTGCCAGCAAATTTTAAAAACCCCGTTGTGGGGGTTTTGGGTTCACCTTTTTGAACTTGTAAACCCCTGTCCCGCTTTATAAATGAGGATGGGGGGTTCTCGGCTGTTCCCAAAAATTAAACACCAATTGCCCAGGGAAGTTTTCCCCCCACGGGCCGGAAGAACGTAAATGTCTAACCCCTTTAGGATTTTGGGGGTTTTTTGGAGTTCCAGCTGTTCTAGAATGTCGGGCCACATGTTGGAAATTTTTTTTGAAAAAATGGTATGGGGCAGCAAAAAACGGTTTTCCCCTACAAAATTGAGGGAAAGATGTTTTTTCAAGGGTGCAGGAAAAAAAATATCTTTTTGGGAAAAGACGGGAGCCACGAGCCTGGGTACATTTGTACGGGAAAAATGCGCGAAACCCCTCTTAAGAGCAAAGAAAAAAAATATTTTACCAACAAGGGTAGGAGTCCTTCAAACAAAGGCAGAAAGATAGGCCCGAGTAGAGGAAGTTGGTCCCTAAAGTTTAAAAAATTTTTTCCCCTGTTCAGTCTAAACGAGCGTGGAAAGGAGTGAAGGAGTGTCGATCTTTTCTGAGAAGAACGAGAAGGTGAAGGTGGGAAGTATCAACAGCAGGTAATTGTCGTTGACGTTTTTTGGCGTGGGAACCCCAAAATTGGTCCCACTGGGGAAGGGTCCCCGGGGTTTGAAAATTTCCGCACCGTAAGGGGGGAGGGGGCCCGGAAAACTTTGTCAGAGGAGGCGAAGGTCTGATAAATCAAGGAGCCGTCGAAAGGGCCCCAGTACCTGAAGCAGGTTTTAGGAAAAAGCACCGGCAAAAGGTTTCAGAAAGGGAAAGAGGAATGTCTGAAAAAAAAGGGGCCAAAAAAAAGAGGCGGGGTCCCGAACGGGGTGCGGTTCAAAAGGGGCCCGGGGAAACCCGGGTTATGGACTAAGGGGTGCCATGGTTTGGTTAAATTTTTCCTTTTTGTTTTTAAGAAAAAAAAAGAAAGAAAGAAAAGAAAATAAAAAATAAAAAAAAAAAAAAAAAAAAAGGGGGGGCCCGGGGGAGGGATAGTTCCTGGGGGAATGAAAGGGCCCCGGGGAAAACCCCCCTCCCGCCCAAGAGGACCCGGGCACCGGGTGTAGCGGGGAGGGAGCATGGAAACCCCTTCCCTAACCCCAAACCCCTTTATGCCAGTAAAAACCCGCAATCCGGGATAGCCCCCTCACAATTTCCCACTACCCGGGGGGAAAAAAAAAGGGGGCCCGGGTATTTCCCCCACAAAAGGGATACTCCTTTAGCCACCCCCCCCCCGGGAAACCGAAAAAAGGGGGCCCTTTCCCGAGATACCCCGTCGCCCAAAAGACAAACCCCAAATACTCCGGGGAAACCGGGGGAAAAGGGGAAAGGGAACATCCCTAGGCAATCCAGATTCCCGGCAAACCCCCGCCCCCGCCCAAAAAAACCTCAACGGAAAGGGATCGACCCCCGGGGTTTTTCCCTACCTAGAAACCCAGCGTGCCCGTGGGGAAAAACCCCAAAAGGGCAAAAAGGGAAGGGCAAAAAGGGGGGAGTGGGGGGGGGGAAAGGGGAAGGGGAAAAGGGAAAAGGGAGGATGGGGAGGATGGGATAGGGGGGGGGAGGGTTGGGGGGGGTAATTTGGTTTGGTCTTTAGGAAGAAGGACCGATAGGTCTAAAACCCAGACCCAAAAGCCTTTCACCACGCCAAAGGGGCCCCCCCTTTTAGAGGGGGAAACAGGGGGAAAAAATCTTCATTTTAAAAAAAGTTTCCCAAAAAATAAGACAAGAATATTTTCATAAAAGTCCTTAAGTGAAAATCAAAGTCATTTTTCAAAATCCTTTGTTAAAGGGCAATGTCTTTTTTAATTGAAAAAATGAAAAAAAAAAATTAAATCTTTTTAGACGGGTTTCCAGCGGGGCCAAAAAAAAGAAATTTTTTTTTTAAGCATATTTTTGAAAAAAAGGTTTAAAATTGCCTTTTCCCCTTAGACAAAATGTCAGAAAATATCTTTTCATTTTTTAAAATTTTTTAACAAATTAAATTTTTTAGAATTTTTAAAACGGGGGGCCCAAAAAAGGGAAAAAAAAGGGTTTTTTTTAAATTTGGAAATGGGGAAAGGGGTTACCCCCCTTCCCCCAAATTTTGCCCCCAAAAAAAAATAGAAGAGAAATTTTTATTTTTCCCCATAGATGGGGAAAAAATAAAAAAAGAATAGAATTTTTTTTTAAAAAAAACCCCCAAAAAAAATAAAAAAAAAAAAACACAAAAAAAAAACCAACCCAAAAAAAAAACCTACCAACAAAAATTTAAAAAAAAAAAAAACAAATTTCCCCCCCCAAAACCCCCCTTTTACCAAAAAAAGAAAAAAAAAAAAAAAAACCCCCCCCCCCCCCGGGGGAAAAAAAAAAGACCCCAGCAATCCCCCATCAGAAAAAAATTTTCGGCTTTCCCTTTACACTCACTTGGCGGATGGTGTACCCCCCCCTGGGCTGTTGCTGTCTACAGCCTATACCTATAATCTATTTTGTCCCCAAAAAAACTAAATGTTACAGCAGGTTTAGTATTTCTTTTACAAATATAATAAAAAAAAGTAAGAATAACAATAAGGGCCAAGGGGAAGGAGAATTGTAAGCACTTTGTCTTATTAAATATGATAATACAGTTTTTTTATATCATGGAAGATCAAAAGTTGAAAAATTTTTTTTAAAAAAACTTTAATCATAGTAGTTCACTAATATTTTTTTATGACGTTCTGAATATACACCTCAATGCACCATAAAAAGATGTGTATCCTTTGCAAAACTTATTTTTTTTAAGGGGAAAGTGCAGAGTTGGAGAAAGTTTAATGTTGGACTAGAAAACCTTTCAATGAAGATATAATTAATCCCTGCAAGTGCTGAATATAGATTGTTGCAAACTTGGAGTGATTCGTTTTCACTGGCATAAATTATTATGGATAACTTTTGATTAAAGGGTAATTACTCTGGCAATTTTGGAGTATTTATATACAGGAGAAAATTTTCAAAATAAAAAACAAAATGAAAACCAAAGGACTTTTTTTTTTTGGGGTCTTCACTTAAGCTACCTTGCTGAGAATAAAAAAGGGTAATTTTAAAGATTATCCCCCGAAATAAATTTTTGAATCTTTTAGCAAACGTGGGGGTTCATGACAAAAAAATTGTAAAAACACTATTGAAAACAAATATGAAAAGTGGATTTTTAAGATCGCCACTATGGGTTCAAACCACACCCGTTCCATGTTTACGTGCATGTAAGTGTTAAAAATTTAAAAAAAAAGTAAAAATGTAGTAATGATAATGATAACGTCACAGGAAAAAATTGTTAAAATTTTCATTTTAAAAAAAATCGTTCCTACTGACCCCTGTTGGTTACGTCATGCTTCCATTTTTTTTTGAGAACCGATATTTGATTTTTTAGGACTTTGGCACAAAAAATACAAACATTTCCATTTTTGTTGAAATTAAGTATGTAAAATAGCATTCCTTTATAACACGGCACCCCGGGAGTGCCTTGCGTAATGTGTGCCATGTGCAATTTTGAATGGGGACTCCCTGTATGTGCATCAATTTTTTAACAAAATGGGAAAAAATCTTGTTCTGGGAAAAGGTTCTGTGAAAATTCCGATAATATAGAGCCAAAATTTCTCTACTATGTTACAGACACTGGAGTTATACATTACTTGATCACAAGTCAAGTAAAGACAGTGTCCCCCAATTATCTCTAATATGAGAAGAATAAAAAAATTTTAAAACCACATTTTTTCCCCCAAAACGTTCTCCATTAAAAAAGTTTTTCAGGCAAAACCTCATGGCTGCTATTATTATATTATTATTTTATTATTTAGTTTTAAACTTAATCTTTACAGAAAGCATGGGACTCCTATTTTACCTTCATTAAATTTTTTCCCAATAAAATAATGATAAAGCTTCAACACTGAGCTGATGGTAACCCTTTTTCCAAAGGCACCTCAAAATAAGTAAAGAAAATATTTTTTGATATATATAACAGTACTAGTCCAGCCATATAAGACACACACACACACACACACACACACACACACACACACACACACACACACACACACACACACACACACACACATATTCAATATATACATTATACAGTACCACACAGCTTCATCTCACTGTCATCATGAATGTAAAATTTAAATTAACAAAAAGTCTGAACACTTAATGACTTTACTGAGTACACATTTGGTTCACTGGCTGTTGTGTTCTACACCTCTAAAATGAGATCACAAAGGCTGAGCTTCTATACAAACATCTTTGTTAGTGTCAGAGCATGTTTGCTGAGAAATGTTCCACTGGCACTTTCCATTACCAAGATGATGTACATTCAACACCTATAAAGTTTCAGAGGATACCTCTAATCCTAAATTTGCTTATTTCAGGTTTGTTCTTCAGACAAGAGTGTCCAACACATACACACCTTCATCACTACTGCTGTGAAGAGAACTCAACCCTGTATCTGAATTAGAGTCTGTCGAGTCAGTGTCCTTTCCTGTTGCTTTGGTTGTTTTAGAGGATGCAGGAGTGGAGGTTGACTTGTTAGGCTCTGCATCGTTTGGTGTTTTATTATTGTTGCTTGTACTGCTACTGGTTGATGCCTCAGATGAGGTACTGGACCGGGAGCTGACACACAAGCTGCTATTTTTGGCTGAATCTATGTCATCCTCTTCATCCTCCTCTATGATTGGGGGTGGACAAGAAGGCAGTGGTGGTGGAGCATTCTTTTCCTCCACCTTAACTTTGTTTTGTTTACTGGAAGGCACACATGGAATGTCTGTAGTATCATTGTTTAAGTTGGTTACAGAAGGCACTCTAGCAGGGGTGGTGGTAGCCACAGCAGTTGTGGATACCTGTAATGGATGAATTTCTTCAGCTGGGAGTTGAAAGGCAGAGGGAGGGAGGTGTATGATGTAATCTAGGTGCTGTCTTAATGCACGGGTCTCCAGGTCAGACTCTGTGTCTTCCTTGAGCAACAGTTCAAGTTGCTTCCGTTGCTCCCACAGCATAGCCTCAGTCTCCCGCAGAGTTTGTTCATTCTGTCGCACATCTGCAACTAATTGAGCATGGATATGGGAGACACACATCAGCTCTTGTTGAAGGAGCTCTGCCTCATCCTTCTGTTGCTCATAAGCAGCATTGACAGTGGTTGACATGCTTGCCAGAGTTTCCTCCTCATGCAAAATTCTGGTGTTTATTTCTTCCATCCGTGCCAAAATGGATGCAAATTCCTGAATTTCTTCCAAGCCTGCTGCCGTCATTGCCTCTTCTTCCGCTGCCACACCTTTCAGAGACTGGCTTAGCGTTGCTTCTACCACTTCCTCAGTTACCACACCAGAATCATTGCTCTTTTCTTCACTACTGTTCTCATCCTTGGTTTCACTTTGGTCATCCTTGAGGTAGGAGTGGAGGAGGTAGTCGGTCCCAAGGTTCTGGACGCGAAGGAGGTGCATCTGTTGCTCGTATTGCTCAATCTGATGTTCCCTCTCCTGCAGCCGCCGCAGCTGTGTCTGGATGGTCTCGCCCTGAGCCACTACCAGCCGCATTAGTCTCTCCATCGTTTCGCTGAAAAAAGAAGAAAGATTGTATTGTCCTCTAGTTGCATTAATATTTTTGGCTATGCAAATACCTAGTGTATACCTGGAGGGTGTTCTGGGGGTCAATGCCCCTGCAGCCCGGTCCATGACCAGTGCTGCATTGTATTTCCTGTGACTTGTGTTATAAACTTAATTATCACATTACAAACTACCATGCTTTACTGAAATCTCTGTAGCTGTTTAACATGGTAATATCCAACAATATGAAAATAAATCTACCAAGCTATTTCTGTCACAATGTATTGTTCTTCCTACCATACATTACATCTTCTTTCATATTATAATCTATACTATGGTATTGCTATATAAAAGGGTCAGTGCATTAAGTGGTGTTTATGTTGTATATACATCAGTGCTGTATGACCCATATGGGTTTAGAACTTATTTTTTAATATAATGTGCACTGTAGGGCCCCAATTTAGAGAGTTTCACTAATTCAGTGGTTTTCAGTTATACCAATTCTTCATTTATTCAGACTTCCTACAATAAATATATTCACCACTCACTAAGCTAAGGGCAAAAATATTTCAAGGTAAGTAATCTGTGTACTACATATGCATTTTTTAGGCCTAGCACTATTGCTCATTTAATATATGATAGTATAAACATGTTATCAGGCTTTTATATGCATTTGAAAATGGAAAAAAAAAAAGGGTGTTTCACTTTACAGTGATTTTGTTTTGCAGCAGAAGCCTGGGAAACCTAACCTGCTGTATAAGTGGGGCCTACCTGTATATAGACCAAGGGTTGTATTTGCATATAGTATACACTAAGACATTTGTATCTGTATGTAAACCTAGAGGTATATATAGTAGGGCCCCACTTTATGGCATTTCGCCTTACAGCATTCCACTAATACAGCTATTTCAAATTATGACCAAAAAAAACTATATTGCGAGCGGTCTTTCTAATATGGTGCGCACCACCTGGTTTGTTTATATTCTCTGTAAGCACATCTTTATTATGTTTGGAAACTTTCTAAAATTTCAAGTGTTTTAAAGTTATTGCATATTTTACATGTACTCTGATAATTATACTTAGGTGTACCAGTACCTAAATATACTTACACAATATGCTGGCATGCAGATACACATTAAAATCACTAAGTGTCCCTGTAGTCTTAACACCATAGTAATAATACTAATACATAATAATAATCACCCTTGGGTACATTAAATGTCTTATTTTATGTTAATATAGACATTTTCATTAATCCACCTATGATATTTTCTACAAATTTATATAAGAAACACATTACATAGCATATAAACATGCTATGTTTATATACTATGGAGGTGTGGTTGTCAGGCGGAGGGAAAACATTACGTTTTCTCTGGTCCAGCATCAGAGAAAACGTGTATGGATCTGTATTGGCCCAGTCACTCCCCATAACACAACGCTTTTGTTTACAATTCTCAGCATGAATTATTCATTACTTCTCCCTTCGTTTATGATGGCATCTAAAAGGTAGTTGTTAGAAACGATTAAACTGGGCTGCATTAAATATCATGTAGCCATGTAAGTAGGTGCAGCTATGTAGCCAGGTGGACTACATAGCTACATCTACCAGCTACCTACACCTGACTTCCTACAAATAACTACTCACCTCTTGCCATACATTAAGACTACATACAAATATTTTAAGGTAAGTAATGAATGTACTGTGTATTATTTTACTCTTTATTGTGTTTTTAATGCCTAGTTCTATTATTAACCTAATACAAGTTAGTGTAAACTTCTTGTCTGGCATTTATAAGTGGAAAAAATGGTGTTCTGCTTTCCAGCAGTAGCCTGGAACCTAACCTGCTGTATAAGTGGGGCCTACTGTATATGCAAAGAATTCTCTCTTTGATTATAATCATGGGGAGCACTAAACCCATAGGATTATACAGGACATGTGAGGGAAGTGGAAGGCATTCAGGCTCACTTCAGGTAACTGGAGCACAAATCCAATTCCCTAGATCAAGAGCCCCTCATCAGCATCAAGGCACCTCCCTTGAGGGTCCTTGTTGAAATAATGTAATTTACTTTGGCCCCTATTATAGGGGTTAAGGTTTATTTTATGCTAATGTACAAAGGGACTGAAACACTACTGTCTCAGTTTTTACCTCGGTAGTTTAAATATTAAAGTATACTTTATTTTTAAGGAGGATTGTAACCTTGGTGACCCTCCTGTAGTGAATAAAATATAAATAAATAAATGAAGTAACTACTATCACTGGGGTCACCACCTTGCAAAAATAACCTGCACATAAAAGAATGAAACTTGTAACAACGTTTCAGTCCAACCTGGACCATTAACTAGTCTCTGCCACCACCTTGGTGGTAGTGATGACCTCACTGTAGTGATGTCACTGTAGTGGTAACTTCTACAAAAATGGTGATCAATTCAAAAACACTTGAGGTCTCTTCCTCCACCACCACATTGAAGCAAATGGGCAATATCTTAGGCTGATGAGTGGTAATGCCAGACACTTGGTAGAGCAAGCCTTTAATACACCATGTATCACATACAGTGAAGTTTTATCAAATACATGAAAATAAACAAAAAAAAAACTGCCCTTAAAGAATACATGCATTTTGAGGTCAGGTGGTATAGTCAGAGATGAAAGTCAGGCAACAATGAGAGGGCAGGACTGGGATCACTGCATCAGGTCAAGGAATTTTATGTATTGCATGGGTGGGAACCTCAAGGTAGACATAGCATCTTCAGTGTGTTTGCATTTCATGTAGAGATTTTTCACTACAAATTCCATGTGCACAAACAATTCTATGCTTATGCCTCTTTGGTTTTGGTATTGTGGTGCTAGTAATATATGCAGTTCATGAATTACAGATGTGCAACATCTAGGTATCTGCATCTGTTTTCTATATGCAATTCTGCAATCCTGAGAGACTTCTACAGCCTCCCTGTGGGGGGCTGTAACTTTTTTTTTCCAGCCAGAGTGAGATTTACAGATTTCTCCAAGGACAAATGTATGCATGTAGAATGGTAAGCACCAACTCCTGTGGTCCATTGTAATCTACATCTCTATCTCACGGACTGGTAGAAAGCACAACTGGTATACGAAAAACTGAACAAAACAAAGATGTCTCAAAACAGTGGCCATTCACGTTGCCAAAACCTTGGAACAAAATAAGGAAATATATACTGTAGCAAAAGCCATCACACACATTGTAATTTATCAACATACAAAATATAAAACTCCTCAACCAGGCCCAACCCTCTCAAGGTATTATCTTCACCACCGACCTCACCATTACCTGACCTGACTGCAGGATGCTTGTAGTCTTAAGGCAGTGTGCTTATTTTTCTGTTCTTGATAAAGTTCCATCATAGGTGAAGTGTTGTATAATAGACTTTCAGTGGCAGTAAAAAGGTGGGGGGAGGGGAGCCTGAAGCCCCCTAATAATCGTCCCATTCCTCCATTCCCAAAGCCCCCTAAATGAAAATAACTCAGCTTCAAGACAAATCCCTTAGTTCCACCCCTACCTCCTTCCAACCAGAATGTCAACCCCCTGAGTTCCTACCACATAGAAATTCTGGAGCACCTCTGCTTTCCCTGGTAAAAGTTAAATTACCACACTGAGGTCACTACCACTACTCTTGGCCAGTACATTAAACTATGTAAAAGTAGGTCCTAAATGGGTTGTGTACAAGATAAGGCCAGTCATCATTACATGGGATGTGATGGAGCTCAGAAGAACCCATTACAACGTATGCCACCACCCTCCCTGGAACAACAGTTGGCTAACACCCAGGTACCTTATTACTGCTACTGCTATGTGCAAGGTAACCTGCCCACAGTTTGCATTCATGACAGGATCGATCTCTAGTCCCTCAGTTGAAGTTTCACTCTTGGTCTGAGAATGGCTATACATGGAGCCTCTAAGAATTATGGAAAAAAAGAACCAGTTCTCATAAATACGAGCAAAAGTTGAGTAACCAGGAAAGGCAAGCCCAAAATATAGTGTTGGTCCTATTGCAGCTCTCCAGTCAAATTGACTACAGTTAGATCTCTAGGAAAGTGGAGACACTTAGCAGTAGACCTGACAGTTATACTTCAGCCTGTGACGGGAAAGTGTGTGCAGATGAAGCAGCGTCTCGAGATTAGCAAGTTTATTTAGGTACAGGTCCTGTACAACTGCCATACATAGTTAGCACTGTATGACCTTTGTGGAATAAGCGCTCAGTTTTGATTATAATAGTAATGTCAAACATAACATGTGTAAATGACATAGGATAGCCCCAAAGGGGTCTTTGTGACAATTTTTCAAATCTTTACGGAAGGTCACAATCCATAAAAAAACGTAATCGCTAAGGACAGAGCAACACCATAAAGTCACTGTCATACAAAAGCAGAGTGAAGTACAAGGAACAATAATGTCCATAAGAAACACAAGCATTAGTAATGTGCAGGAAGCACCAGATTCATAAGGCATTAGCATTGTACCTTTTATGCTGCAGTAACATGGAGATGTGTGAGGAGGTTGAACACCCAGGCTGACAAACACACTGTACAAACTTCATATTGGCAGCCGCTCAAGAGCAGATGTATAAAATGAGAGAGTGAGAGGAGCTGGAAAAAATGACGAAATGATTGCTGGTCAAACCTAAATTGAGTTCCTCCTCATTCTTACTTCAACCATTCTAATACAAGTTTTTCCAAGTCATTTCTACTCTGGTGAACAAGTTGTTGTAAGTGCTGCTGCTGCTGCAAGCAACGTCTGATCTTTGAGTCTACTTTCCAATGCAGTTTTTACAAGAAATTTATTTAATATACTGAAGAAAAAACACTTAAATATTGCAACAAGGATATATTATCACTCAGTTTATATACACCATCTAACGAAGAAACAAACTTCCACAAAATTAATATTCTAGTTAAATCAATCACTATCTAAAGAAGCAACTTTTCTTTGGCTTTAGGAAATACATGGCTTTTTTCTGTCGGGTAATTTTATATTTCCAGCTACGAGTTACAGCCCTTCCTTTCTCCAGGTCTCACACAATATCATTTAAAATTTCCCAATACTTTTTTTTGCTCGCTATTTGACCAGTTCAAGTTGTGAGTCAAGCTACTGTGTCACCAGCTGTCTTTCAAACGATGTTTAATATACTAAAAGAAAATATTAAACCAGTATCATTTAGCACTAAAAACTAAGAGAAAAGATCATTGATATCCCCTCATGTTATCCCATGGATCAAACATCTTAAGTTATAACTATCGCCATCCCACACAAGTCACTCAGATTTAGTAATGAATTGATTTAGACAAAGCTACAGGTAAGATGCAGCCAATATTACGTCCCTCCCCTGGCACTACACAGGTGACTGTCTACAGGTGACTTTCAACAGGTGACTGCCACTAGACTACTGATATCAGCCCTTCACCTGAACATTGTGGGATACTTCCAGATCATCGTTCAACCTCATCCACCACCACTACTAATTTATACGACCCATATACACAAGTACCACGTGTACACCATTAATATACCAAGTAGGAAACACGAGGGTAAGTTACATAAACTGAATAAGGTTGAGAGATATAAATGGAAGTAAAAGATTAGCAGTACTAGCAACTAGTGAGGCTGAGACCCTTCACTGAGAGACTGGAGGTGCGACTTTTTCCATTCATCTGGCTGCCTGTAGTAACAATATTTTTTTGTGGTGTGCTGTAACACTGACCACTTGCAGTGGGAACACTCAGTTAGGCAGTGTTTGTTCTCCCCTGGTGAACAAACACTCGTGTACCGACATAGACAACTGTGAAAAAAAAAATGGACAAACCACTGAATATCTGTCGTTTTAATACTTTTATAAATGATTTATTCAAATGGTTTTAACTTTGCTAAATATTTTTTGTTATAGTGTAATAAAGATACCAATAAAAAAAAGGTACTTTGAGTTATATTAAATAGTTTACACTTTATTACTATACAACTAATAATCTAACAGTTTTTAACATACCCAAATAAACTATTGCTAAGACAACATAGAATTTGCAACAGTCTCCATCCATGTTGCCAATTGCGAGAGCCCGGCGCTGAATGACCCATACCGGTTTTGCGCTTTTTTGTAATCATAATATTACGCCCCCCAAAAAAACTAGCGTAAGAATCATTCATTGGCGTGTGCGAGGGTCGGTAAGGTCTAGACTCCCACACTACGGACTGGTAATATGAACCTTACGTCCTCTTGCACCGCCCGAGGACAACTCTTTCAGTTTACCCGTTTTAACTTTCACAGTTTTGTTCACTTGATGTAATCTGTTAAACGTGGAGGCCAGTAATGTACTGATCCACCCAGAAGAAAGCTTTATAATGCACTGATCCACCAGATACTACATAATGCAGTGATCCACCAGATACTACATAATGCAGTGATCCACCAGATTTATAATGCAATGATCCACCAGCTTTATAATGCACTGATCCACCAGCTTTATAATGCACTGATCCACCAGCTTTATAATGCACTGATCCACCAGCTTTATAATGCACTGATTCCACCAGCTTTATAATGCACTGATCCACCAGCTTTATAATGCACTGATCCACCAGCTTTATAATGCACTGATCCACCAGCTTTATAATGCACTGATCCACCAGCTTTATAATGCACTGATCCACCAGATACTACATAATGCAGTGATCCACCAGATTTATAATGCACTGATCCACCAGATTTATAATGCACTGATCCACCAGATTTATAATGCACTGATCCACCAGATTTATAATGCACTGATCCACCAGATTTATAATGCACTGATCCACCAGATTTATAATGCACTGATCCACCAGATTTATAATGCACTGATCCACCAGATTTATAATGCACTGATCCACCAGATTTATAATGCACTGATCCACCAGATTTATAATGCACTGATCCACCAGATTTATAATGCACTGATCCACCAGATTTATAATGCAGTGTGGATGCGTCTTTAATTGTCGCCTCTGCATTCCATTAACATATGAAACAGAAGAGTCAGAATTGGAGACGTGTGCAACACCTAGGTGCCTTGCACGTGTGTGCACAGCACCTAGGTACCTTGCACAGGTGTCTGCAAAACCTAGGTGCCTTGCACGTGTGTGCGCGCAACACCTAGGTACCTTGCACGTGTATGCAACACCTAGGTACCTTGCACGTGTGTATGCAACACCTAGGTACCTTGCCCATGTGTATGCAACACCTAGGTACCTTGCCCATGTGTATGCAACACCTAGGTACCTTGCACAGGTGTCTGCAAAACCTAGGTGCCTTGCACGTGTGTGCGCGCGCAACACCTAGGTACCTTGCCCATGTGTATGCAACACCTAGGTACCTTGCACAGGTGTCTGCAACACCTAGTTACCTTGCCCATGTGTGCGCAACACCTAGGTATCTTGCACATGTGTGTGTCTGCAATACCTAGGTATCTTGCACATGTGTTTCTGTAACATCTAGGTACCTTGCCCATGTGTATGCAACATTAGATATCTTGCATGTCTCTGCAACACCTAAGTACCTTGCGCATGTGTCTGCCACACCTAGCTACCTTGCACATGTGTCTGCATCACCTAGGTATCATGCACACGTGTGCAAGATATGGGAAGATATACAAGGTTCTGAAGGTATCGCTTCAAGGAACAACTCAAGATAATGGATTTAAATTGGGTAAACTTAGATTTAGAATGGATATAGAGTACTGGTTTAGAAATGTAATAGATGAGAGGAACAATCTGCCTTGTAGAGTTATTGAAGCTAAAACCTTGGGTAGCTTCAAATACAGGTTGGATAAATACACTAGTTAATAGGGTTATCAAAGCTTATTCCTTGGATGACACTGATAATGGGTTGGGGTTTAAGAAGAACCTGCCTAGTAGGGGCCAGTAGGCCTGCTGCAGTGCTCCTCTATGTTCAAATGGAATACACAAAACACAGTCTCATGACTCACGAAATCGTAATGACACGATTGCAAACAAACCATACCACGGACGGGGATAGAACCCACGATCAGAGTCTCAAAACTCCAGGCCGTCCAGAGATTGGTCTGTAACAACTTGCATTTGTGGTCACAGTGGTGCCTATGCTAACCTTCCTATGGTGTAGAAATATACCTAGTTGGATGAATCTCATTGTGGCTAGCTGGTCCAGTGGCTAACGCGACAGTCTCATCTTCGTCTCACCTGAATTTGGGATCTTCTCTGGTCAGTTTCTTCGGGTGAAGCGTTTCTCTGGAGCCGTGGACATGCTTCCATTTCTGTCTTTTCCTACTTCGCTCTGGCCTGCCGCTGCTGTTGTTGGTTCCTGCGCTCTCTCCATCGCCCACCCGGCGAAGGGAGAACCTCACCTCTCCCACCGCCTCTCCCCAAGTCCGCCACACCTGTCATAGGGGCAAGGATTATATAATAATAATAATTACTGTAAGTACATGATACAACTTATACAGACCATAGCTGACATGACTCACGAAATCGTAATGACACGATTGCAAAAAAAACATACCCCGGCCGGGATTGAACCAGCGGTCAGAGTCTCAAAACTCCAGCCCGTCGCGTTAGCCACTAACCTTCCTATGGTGTAGAAATATACCTAGTTGGACGAATGTTATTGTGGCTAGCTGGTCTAGTGGCTAACGCGACGGTCTGGAGTTTTGAGACTCTCTGACCGCGGGTTCAATCCCGGCCGGGGTATGGTTTTTCATAGCTGACATCAATGACATATACAGCTATATAGAAAGCCGCTTGTTATGCATAGTATTTCGGGCAAATTAGATCAGTTTTTGTCCCAGGATGTGACCTACACCAGTCCACTAACACCCAGGATGTGACCTACACCAGTCCACTAACACCCAGGATGTGACCTACACCAGTCCACTAACACCCAGGATGTGACCTACACCAGTCCACTAACACCCAGGATGTGACCTACACCAGTCCACTAACACCCAGGATGTGACCTACACCAGTCCACTAACACCCAGGATGTGACCCACACCAGTCCACTAACACCCAGGATGTGACCCACACCAGTCCACTAACACCCAGGATGTGACCTACACCAGTCCACTAACACCCAGGATGTGACCCACACCAGTCCACTAACACCCAGGTACCCATGAACACAGACAACCGGTGTAAAGAAACTCGCTCAATGTTTCTACCCTCGCTGGGAACCAACCCGGACACTCACCACGTGAAGCGAGATCTTTTGCCACCAGGCCACGGGGCAACATGATGGACAAATGAGTGAGAATCGTTCGCTAAGACCAGCCGGGCTGTGGTTTGTATGTCGGTTTTACGTTCAGCCAGCAGTAACAATCTGGTTGACCAGGCCCTGATCTACCGCGAGGCATGGTCATGGATCGGGCCGCGGGGGCGTTGACCCTCTAACACCCTCCAGGTAAGACCTGCCTAGCATGGGCCAGTAGACCTATGCTGGGAGTATATTTGGAATAATTTAAAACAATTTTATTGAACGGCTGAATAATAGAGATGATAATACATCATAATTATACAATATCTGATGTATAATTATACAATATTTGATTAAAATTATACATCAAATAATGTATAATTCTTTATAATTCTTTCCCGTGATTACCATGATTATATTTATTCTATGGTTACCTGGAGGGTGTTACGGGGGTCAACGCCCCCTCGGCCAGGTCCCTGACCAGGCCTCGCAGTGGATCAGGACTTGATCAATCAGGCTGTTTTCCTGCTGGCCGCAAGTAAACCGACGTACGAAATGAACCAGACATCCATAGCTTTTCTATATTACAGGAGATATGCCCAGACTTCTCCATGTATATGTATAATCGGTGTTACAGACGACACATCTAGCACAAACTTCTACCTCCTGACTCTACACACTTGTATACTAAGATGCTTTACAATACCGACTGAAGAAGCCTACTGCGTAGGCGATGCTTTTCGTAATAAAGATACCCGACTGTTGAGCATGTCTTACTTATCTATAACTCTGCCTATAACAGAGCAATAATGTTCTTGTAATAAAACATTTAAAAAGCCTACCGGAGTTTTAGTTATAACGATAAAAATGATTTTTTGTGGGGGGGAGGGAGAAGAATTTATTCCTATCCTAGTGTGTTGTGATATATATATATATATATATATATATATATATATATATAATATATAATATATATATATAATTAATTTTTCTTTTATCACACTAGCCGATTCCCACCAAGGCAGGGTGGCCCGAAAAAAAAAACTTTCACCATCATTCACTCCATCACTGTCTTGCCAGAGGGTGCTTTACACTACAGTTTAAACTGCAACATTAACACCCCTCCTTCAGAGGCAGGCACTGTACTTCCCATCTCCAGGGCTCAAGTCCGGCCTGCCGGTTTCCCTGAACCCTTCAAATTTACTTTGCTCACACTCCAACACCGTCAAGTATTAAAAACATTTTCTCCATTCACTCCTATCAAACACGCTCACGCAAAGCCTGCTGAAGTCCAAGCCCCCCGCACACAAAACCTCCTTTACCCCCCTCCCTCAAACCTTTCCTAGGCCGACCCCTACCCCGCCTTCCTTCCACTACGACTGATACACTCTTGAAGTCACTCTGTTTCGCTCCATTCTCTCTACATGTCCGAACCACCTCAACAACCCTTCTTCAGCCCTCTGGACAACAGTTTTGGTAATCCCGCACCTCCTCCTAACTTCAAAACTACGAATTCTCTGCATTATATTCACACCACACATTGCCCTCAGACATGACATCTCCACTGCCTCCAGCCTTCTCCTCACTGCAACATTCATCACCCATGCTTCACACCCATATAAGAGTGTTGGTAAAACTATACTCTCATACATTCCCCTCTTTGCCTCCAAGGACAAAGTTCTTTGTCTCCACAGACTCCTAAGTGCACCACTCACCCTTTTCCCCTCATCAATTCTATGATTCACCTCATCTTTCATAGACCCATCCGCTGACACGTCAACTCCCAAATATCTGAATACATTCACCTCCTCCATACTCTCTCCCTCCAGTCTGATATCCAATCTTTCATCACCTAATCTTTCTGCTATCCTCATAACCTTACTCTTTCCTGTATTCACTTTTATTTTTCTTCTTTTGCACACCCTACCAAATTCATCCACCAATCTCTGCAACTTCTCTTCAGAATCTCCCAAGAGCACAGTGTCATCAGCAAAGAGCAACTGTGACAACTCCCACTTTATGTGTGATTCTTTATCTTTTTTCTCCACGCCTCTTGCCAAGACCCTCGCATTTACTTCTCTTACAACCCCATCTATAAATATATTAAACAACCACGGTGACATCACACATCCTTGTCTAAGGCCTACTTTTACTGGGAAACAAAGACCTCTTTAGCCTTATCTAAATACTGTTCACTTATGTGTTTCACTGTAAACACCTGGTCCACACACCCCTACCTTTCCTAAAGCCTCCTTGTTCATCTGCTATCCTATTCTCCGTCTTACTCTTAATTCTTTCAATAATAACTCTACCATACACTTTACCAGCCTTACTCAACAGACTTACCTCCCTATAATTTTTGCACTCTCTTTTGTCCCCTTTGCCTTTATACAAAAGGAACTATGCATGCTCTCTGCCAATCCCTAGGTACCTTACCCTCTTCCATACATTTATTAAATAATTGCACCAACCACCCCAAAACTATATCCCCACCTGCTTTTAACATTTCTATCTTTATCCCATCAATCCCGGCTGCCTTACCCACTTTCATTTTACCTACTGCCTCACGAACTTCCCCCCACACTCACAACTGGCTCTTCCTCACTCCTACAAGATGTTATTCCTCCTTGCCCTATACACGAAATCACAGCTTCCCTATCTTCATCAACATTTAACAATTCCTCAAAATATTCCCTCCATCTTCCCAATACCTCTAACTCTCCATTTAATAACTCTCCTCTCCTATTTTTAACTGACAAATCCATTTGTTCTCTAGGCTTCCTTAACTTGTTAATCTTACTCCAAAACTTTTTCTTATTTTCAACAAAATTTGTTGATAACATCTCGCCCACTCTCTCATTTGCTCTCTTTTTACATTGCTTCACCACTCTCTTAACCTCTCTCTTTTTCTCCATATACTCTTCCCTCCTTGCATCACTTCTACTTTGTAAAAACTTCTCATATGCTAACTTTTTCTCCCTTACTACTCTCTTTACATCATCATTCCACCAATCGCTCCTCTTCCCTCCCACACCCACTTTCCTGTAACCACAAACTTCTGCTGAACACTCTAACACTACATTTTTAAACCTACCTCTTCGACCCCATTGCCTATGCTCTCATTAGCCCATCTATCCACCAACTGCTGTTTATATCTTACCCTAACTGCCTCCTCTTTTAGTTTATAAACCTTCACCTCTCTCTTCCCTGATGCTTCTATTCTCCTTGTATCCCATCTACCTTTTACTCTCAGTGTAGCTACAACTAGAAAGTGATCTGATATATCTGTGGCCCCTCTATAAACATGTACATCCTGAAGTCTACTCAACAGTCTTTTATCTACCAATACATAATCCAACAAATTACTGTCATTTCGCCCTACATCATATCTTGTATACTTATTTATCCTCTTTTTCTTAAAATATGTATTACCTATAACTAAACCCCCTTCTATACAAAGTTCAATCAAAGGGCTCCCATTATCATTTACACCTGGCACCCCAAACTTACCTACCACACCCTCTCTAAAAGTTTCTCCTACTTTAGCATTCAGGTCCCCTACCACAATTACTCTCTCACTTGGTTCAAAGGCTCCTATACATTCACTTAACATCTCCCAAAATCTCTCTCTCTCCTCTACATTCCTCTCTTCTCCAGGTACATACACGCTTACTATGACCCACTTTTCGCATCCAACCTTTACTTTAATCCACAAAATTCTTGAATTTACACATTCATATTCTCTTTTCTCCTTCCATAACTGATCCTTCAACATCACAACTACCCCTTCCTTTGCTCTAACTCTCTCAGATACTCCAGATTTAATTCCATTTATTTCCCCCCACTGAAACTCTCCTACCCCCTTCAGCTTTGTTTCGCTTAGGGCCAGGACATCCAACTTCTTTTCATTCATAACATCAGCAATCATCTGTTTCTTGTCATCCGCACTACATCCACGCACATTTAAGCATCCCAGTTTTATAAAGTTTTTCTTCTTCTCTTTTTTAGTAAATGTCTACAGGAGAAGGGGTTACTAGCCCATTGCTCCCGGCATTTTAGTCGCCTCCTACGACACGCATGGCTTACGGAGGAAAGATTCTTTTCCACTTCCCCATGGACAATAGAAGAAATAAAGAAGAACAAGAGCTATTTAGAAAAAGGGAAAAACCTAGATGTGTATATATATATATATATATATATATATATATATATATATATATATATATATATATATATATATATATATATATATGCATGTGCGTGTCTGAAGTGTGACCAAAGTGTAAGTAGGAGTAGCAAGATATCCCTGTTATCTAGCGTGTTTATGAGACAGAAAAAGAAACCAGCAATCCTACCATCATGCAAAACAGTTATAGGTTTCTGTTTCACAGTCATCTGGCAGGACGGTAGTACTTCCCTGGGTGGTTGCTGTCTACCAACCTACTACCTATATATATATATATATATATATATATTATATATATATATATATATATATATATATATATAATATATATATATATAATTACCCATACAAATACACACACATACATACCAAGGTTTCAGTGTCTACCACCGTCACGAGATAAATTAGCATCTTTACTGTCCTCACCTTCAGGATGCGCTGCTCGTGGTCCAGCGGTCGCTCCACCTTGCGCCAGCGCTCCACAATGACGTACTGGATGACGTCGCTGTCTTCAGCACGGGCGGCGGGGCTCTGGGCACGGAGAAGAGCCTTGATGAGGTCGTGACAGGTGGTACGGCGAGTCACCCCCGTCACCCACTTCTGCGTGCCCTCCACCCACACTCCGATCTCCACCTCACTGGCTGTCATTACGAACCTGCAATGACAATAACTATTAATATTACGTAAGTGTGAAAAAATACAGTGAAAATAGGAAATAATTCGAGAAATCACAAAAGAACTTGGAAGTTCACCATCTTTTTTTCACAGTGGTTCTGCATATTGTGATATCACCTCTTTACTGTGATATTATTGCATTATACACACACACACACACTTTACATATAAACACAAATAGATTAAAGTCGGAACGCAATGGTCGAGTTGCAACCAGGAAACTTTCAAATGTATACAATCACTAGTCGTATCAGAAGGGCATGTCAGATGCTATCACGGGGGAAGGCGCTAAACTCACAGGAGCCATACAGCCCCCTGAGGCCTGGGAGGTCCATCCCAATCACCCGGATCAAGAACCCTCGTCTAGCATCAAGAGTGATTGATAGCGTGGGTCCCCCACACGCTCCTTGAAGGAACACTCAGAGTGCATTAGGAGTCGGGGAAGCTGCCAAGCTCTTGGTCTCGTCCTGCTCTGAGAGACTTGTCTCGTAAACGATGTCAAACAACCATAAGAAACCTCCAGCAAGCGATTATCATATCTCTGTGTATATCTCATAAGGCAGAGGAAGATAAATATTGTATTAGGAGTGATGGAAGTGTCAGGGGGGTAAGAGGTATCCAAGCGGACGGAGGGAGAGAGAAGACGAGAGAGGGAGAAGAGGAGAGAGGAATAAGAGGGAGGGAGGGAGAAGACCTAGCATGGGCCTGTAGGCCTGCTGCAATGCCCCTACCTTATGTTCTTACGTTGAGAGGACGAAGAGGATGATGAGCATGTCTTTTGTACACACACATATAGCCTATTTTACTGGACACATTTTGGTCCTGAGACCGTGGTCACTCCAAATCATTTGGAGTGACCACGTTCCCAAAGCTGTGTCTAACAGATAAGCTAAGTGTATCATACACTTGTGTACTCTCAGCCATGTTGCTGGCAACACTACACCATCTATCCTCAGCATATCTGTTTAGATTGTAACTTAGACAAAAACATTTCGAGGCATTATTTGGCCAACGTATCGCCCGTGCCGCTGGCTAATACCTGGGAATGAGAATTTTCTGCACAAGAGAAGCATCGTCGGAATCAAGTTTGCAATTGCAGCTCTTGGGTCAACAACAACTTTAAATCCTCCATACCATCCCCCGGTTGCAATGTCCTTCAAGTTGTGGTATAAACCCTGGTAAAAAATACGACAAACTGGTTTAGAAAAACGCGTGAGCAAAACTAGGACTTATTAGGCAACGTTTCGCTCCTGGGATCTTTATCACTTCAAACGTGAAATATGAAAAAAAAAACGTAATCATAACCTTAATTTTTAGAGGGGGGTGGAGGGGTAAGCCAGCGGAAGGTCTCGGTCTGATGACCAAAGGCTCCAGCTGTGGGTCATATGACAGACCCGCGTCAGGAAACACTTGTCCTGTTTCCTGACGAACCTAACATGTACCTACATATTTTTAACGCTTTCTAATATGTCCTAGTGCTCAATGTTAACCCACATGGAAAAAACGTAGGGATCTGCTGAAGAGGACCCCAGAAGGGGGTCGAAATATACAGATCAATCTTCGTGTTTATCTCCATGTGGGTTATTACTGAGCACTGATGAGTGCTCGGCAATAACGCACTTGACTCAAGAAATCGTAATGACACGATTGCAAATAAACCATACCCCAGGCCGGGATTGAACCCGCGGTCTATGACCGCGGGTTCAATCCCGGCCGGGGGTATGGTTTAATAACGCACTTGCTTACGAGTCTATTCCTCCATATTCACATGCATTGCAACCCACTATTGTATATACACAATCTTAATGTACTGTTTGCAAAGACATCGTTTTGATAAGGGCCTGCCTCGTATGGGCCAGTAGGCCTTCTGCAGTGTTCCTACATTATGTTCTTATGTTCTTAAATAAATAGTTACACCTCCCTAGCATCTTCCAGACGCTGTCAAAACATTCCCGGACACGTAAGCAATAAAATCCATTCCCCTCGAGTTAAGATTGTTTTTATCTCTCGTTCGAACTTCGTAGACAAATATTAATAACCAAATAAGCCATTCTTCATTTCTGGTCCACGTGTTGTGCGTACCATGGTCTCTGAGCCAGAAACACTTCTAGTGTTTAAAGTATATTTTTTTTAAACAAGTACGATTTACACGAACAACCCGCACATAGAGAGGAGCTTACGACGACGTTTCGGTCTGTTTCAATGTGACTTTGTAAACGGTCTAAGTCGGACCGAAACGTCGTCGTAAGCTCCTCTGTTCTATGTGTGTGTTATTTGTGTATTACTCCATCTCTGTATTCGCCAATAAGTGGACAGTGTTCAAGAACGTAACTCAAGCTGACCACAAACTTGACATTTAGTCTGATGCCTGGCTACTACAGTAGTAGCAGCAGCAGCCCAAGCCTGGCTACTACAGTAGCAGCAGCAGCAACCCAAGCCTGGCTACTACAGTAGTAGCAGCAGCAGCAGCCCAAGCCTGGCTACTACAGTAGTAAGCAGCAGCAGCAGCCCAAGCCTGGCTACTACAGTAGTAGCAGCAGCAGCAGCCCAAGCCTGGCTACTACAGTAGTAGCAGCAGCAGCAGCCCAAGCCTGGCTACTACAGTAGTAGCAGCAGCAGCAGCCCAAGCCTGGCTACTACAGTAGTAGCAGCAGCAGCAGCCCAAGCCTGGCTACTACAGTAGTAGCAGCAGCAGCAGCCCAAGCCTGGCTACTACAGTAGTACAGCAGCAGCAGCCCAAGCCTGGCTACTACAGTAGTAGCAGCAGCAGCAGCCCAAGCCTGGCTACTACAGTAGTAGCAGCAGCAGCAGCCCAAGCCTGGCTACTACAGTAGTAGCAGCAGCAGCAGCCCAAGCCTGGCTACTACAGTAGCAGCAGCAGCAGCAGCCCAAGCCTGGCTACTACAGTAGCAGCAGCAGCAGCAGCCCAAGCCTGGCTACTACAGTAGCAGCAGCAGCAGCAGCCCAAGCCTGGCTACTATAGTAGCAGCAGCAGCAGCAGCCCAAGCCTGGCTACTATAGTAGCAGCAGCAGCAGCAGCCCAAGCCTGGCTACTACAGTAGTAGCAGCAGCAGCAGCAGCCCAAGCCTGGCTACTACAGTAGTAGCAGCAGCAGCAGCAGCCCAAGCCTGGCTACTACAGTAGTAGCAGCAGCAGCAGCAGCCCAAGCCTGGCTACTACAGTAGTAGCAGCAGCAGCAGCAGCCCCAAGCCTGGCTACTACAGTAGTAGCAGCAGCAGCAGCAGCCCAAGCCTGGCTACTACAGTAGTAGCAGCAGCAGCAGCAGCCCAAGCCTGGCTACTACAGTAGTAGCAGCAGCAGCAGCAGCCCAAGCCTGGCTACTACAGTAGTAGCAGCAGCAGCAGCAGCCCAAGCCTGGCTACTACAGTAGTAGCAGCAGCAGCAGCAGCCCAAGCCTGGCTACTACAGTAGTAGCAGCAGCAGCAGCAGCCCAAGCCTGGCTACTACAGTAGTAGCAGCAGCAGCACAGCCCAAGCCTGGCTACTACAGTAGTAGCAGCAGCAGCAGCAGCCCAAGCCTGGCTACTACAGTAGTAGCAGCAGCAGCAGCAGCCCAAGCCTGGCTACTACAGTAGTAGCAGCAGCAGCAGCAGCCCAAGCCTGGCTACTACAGTAGTAGCAGCAGCAGCAGCAGCCCAAGCCTGGCTACTACAGTAGTAGCAGCAGCAGCAGCAGCCCAAGCCTGGCTACTACAGTAGTAGCAGCAGCAGCAGCAGCAGCCCAAGCCTGGCTACTACAGTAGTAGCAGCAGCAGCAGCAGCCCAAGCCTGGCTACTACAGTAGTAGCAGCAGCAGCAGCAGCCCAAGCCTGGCTACTACAGTAGTAGCAGCAGCAGCAGCAGCCCAAGCCTGGCTACTACAGTAGTAGCAGCAGCAGCCCAAGCCTGGCTACTACAGTAGTAGCAGCAGCAGCCCAAGCCTGGCTACTACAGTAGTAGCAGCAGCAGCCCAAGCCTGGCTACTACAGTAGTAGCAGCAGCAGCCCAAGCCTGGCTACTACAGTAGCAGCAGCAGCAGCCCAAGCCTGGCTACTACAGTAGTAGCAGCAGCAGCAGCAGCCGCCCAAGCCTGGCTACTACAGTAGTAGCAGCAGCAGCAGCAGCCCAAGCCTGGCTACTACAGTAGTAGCAGCAGCAGCAGCAGCCCAAGCCTGGCTACTACAGTAGTAGCAGCAGCAGCAGCAGCCCAAGCCTGGCTACTACAGTAGTAGCAGCAGCAGCAGCAGCCCAAGCCTGGCTACTACAGTAGTAGCAGCAGCAGCAGCAGCCCAAGCCTGGCTACTACAGTAGTAGCAGCAGCAGCCCAAGCCTGGCTACTACAGTAGTAGCAGCAGCAGCAGCCCAAGCCTGGCTACTACAGTAGTAGCAGCAGCAGCAGCAGCCCAAGCCTGGCTACTACAGTAGTAGCAGCAGCAGCAGCAGCCCAAGCCTGGCTACTACAGTAGTAGCAGCAGCAGCAGCAGCCCAAGCCTGGCTACTACAGTAGTAGCAGCAGCAGCAGCAGCCCAAGCCTGGCTACTACAGTAGTAGCAGCAGCAGCAGCAGCCCAAGCCTGGCTACTACAGTAGTAGCAGCAGCAGCAGCAGCCCAAGCCTGGCTACTACAGTAGTAGCAGCAGCAGCAGCAGCCCAAGCCTGGCTACTACAGTAGTAGCACAGCAGCAGCAGCCCAAGCCTGGCTACTACAGTAGTAGCAGCAGCAGCAGCAGCCCAAGCCTGGCTACTACAGTAGTAGCAGCAGCAGCAGCAGCCCAAGCCTGGCTACTACAGTAGTAGCAGCAGCAGCAGCAGCCCAAGCCTGGCTACTACAGTAGTAGCAGCAGCAGCAGCAGCCCAAGCCTGGCTACTACAGTAGTAGCAGCAGCAGCAGCAGCCCAAGCCTGGCTACTACAGTAGTAGCAGCAGCAGCAGCAGCCCAAGCCTGGCTACTACAGTAGTAGCAGCAGCAGCAGCAGCCCAAGC